TTCGGGGTCGGGGCGAAGGTCTGGAAGAAGTCAACCCCCTCGCGCTGACTGAAACCTCTGGCCACGTAGCGCGCCTTGAAGACAGGCGGCTCTCCAGGGGGGCGCTTCACCTTGAAGAGCCACCGACCATCGACTACGTTCACCCCAGGGGGGGAACTGCGTCGACGTAAGTGCCGGTGGACCTCCAAGATGCCATCTCCTGCTCCATGGCAGCTATCCACTGAGAGGCCCAAGGTCCCGAGGTGGCCTCAGCGTAGGTGCGAGGGGTCGGGATGTCGAAGGCGTCTGGGTCACCCTCAGGGACTAGCATGGAGCAGAGATGGGGAGCAGCCTCGGAAAGGAAAGCAAGCTCGTACTGCCTGTCCTCTAGGACGTCACTGCCAAGGGCAGGAGCACCCCCGACGGACGGAGGACGGGCAGGGTCAGAGACCAGAGCGGTAGCGTAGTCAAGGCGGCGGGTAGAGGCGAAGTCAGCGACAGCAGCGACAAGCGCGTCAAGGCGCGAGACAGGAACAGAAGGGTCGGTAACAAGAGAGGCAAGGACCCGAGGGACAAGGGGACGAGCGGCACGGAGGTAGTCAGAGAACGGAGGAGGTGCAACAGCAAGGGACGAGGGAGGAGGGACGGGAGGAGGGGAGGACGAGACGAGTGGGAACGGAGCAACATAGGGTGGGGGCAGGACAGGAGAGACGGGACGAGCACGGGAGGGACGGCGAGACCAAACGTGAGACGGAGGTGTAGGGTCAGGGACAGCGGAGGGACACAGGAGGGAACGAGGAGGAAGACGGGCCGGAGACGAGTCCGGCGGCGGGAACACAGGACCGTAGACAGGAAGGTCAGCAGGCGGGGGAGACACCGGGCGCGGTCCGGGGAGGGAAGGCCGAGCAGGCGGAGAGCGGAGACCGGCGGCGACTGCTGCCGGGAACGCTCGGACCGGCAAGGGAGGACGACCGTCGGCGGAACCTCAACAGCAGCACCCCAGAACCAACACCCCAGAGCGAGAACCCCTCCAACACCAGCGGCACCCCCAGAAGCCGCAGGACGAACACCCTCCTCCACCAGCACCCAGGGGCCAAGAGCAGCGGCAGCGGCGCGCAGCGACGGCGGCGGCGGCAACAGCGCGACGCGGCGGCGGCGACGGCGCGGCGCGGCTGCGCGAGGGGGCGACTGCGACAGTGGGGCGGAGACACCGGGGAAGGGGGACGCGGCAAGGACGGCCGGGGTACCACCAGAGTCAGCAGACTCCTCAACGGGGACAACCGACGGGAGGGGAGTGACGTGAGAGACACCAGACGGGGCAGGACGAGGCGGGGAGGGCAGGGGCTACCGGGGGAGAGGGAGCAAGGAACAGGGGGGGCAACCGGGAGACCTCGGTGAGGGAAGCGGCGGTAGAAGGAGACAGACTCGTCAAAGGTGACGTCACGAGAGTGGAGGAAGCGGTGAGACGGGGGTGGTGTAGAAAAGCCAGTCAGACGAGTCCAGGGGGAAACCGAGGAAGACACAGGGGACAGTGCGGGCAGTGAGCTTGTCCGTGCCAGAGGCACGAACGTGAGCAAGACAGCCCCAGACGTGGAACGCAGACGCGTCACCAGGGGACCCGGTCCAGAGGAGGGTCGGCGAAACCTGTGGCCGCTGAGAGAGTGGCCACAAGTTAAGCTGGTGAGCAGCGTAGCGAACAGCGAACGGCCACAGAAAATGGGGGGCATCAGCATGAATCATGGAGGTACGAGCAACCTCCATGACCAAGCCAATGCGGCGCTCAGCAACCCCATTCTGCTGTGGCGAGTCCGGCAAGCAGGTGTACGACTGGGTGATGCCCTCCGCACGCACGACAGAACTGTCCAAGCCGACCAGAGGCGAACTCGCCGCCACGGTCAGAGTGGAGACACAACACGGGGAGACTGCAGCGAAGACGCGCAGCCACAACCCACGGTAGAAGAACGTCGGGCACGTCGGCCTTCCGCTCCAGAGGAAACACCGTGGTGTAGCGCGTGTAATCGTCGACGAGCACAAGGAAGTAGCGCTCACCGCGCGGTCCGGGGACGGGGGCAGGGCCCCAGACGTCCAGGTGCAGGGTCTGGAGGGGGGCAGTCGCAGGGCGCAGCGAGGAGGAGTGAGGAGCACGGCGGAGGCGGCCCTCGACGCAAGGCGTGCACGGTGGCGCAGTCGAGGGAGGAAGGGCAGGGAGCGACGCGGGAGACCTAAGACAAGACCGTGCTGGGACATGTGACGCAGACGCGGGAGAGCAGGGTGACCTAAGCGGTGGTGCCAGAGAAGGGACGGGTGAGTGAGGGAACGACACGAGCAAGCTGCAGCGACCTGGGGGACGCACCAACCGGGGGGGAAGCGGTGTCGAGGGTAAACAGACCGGACACCGGGTCCCGGGGGAACGTCGCAAGAGGGAACCTGAGACAACCTCAGAACAGACAGCGAACCGCTCGGGCCCGGGGAACGTGGTGGTGACGCCGAGGTCCTGGAGACAGCCGACACCAACCAGGTTCCTCGAGAACGAGGGAACGTGGAGCCTGTAAGGGAGCCCGAGGGAAGTGCAGGACAGGGAAGGGACGTAGAACTGCGAGCAACGACAGGACCCGCAGAGGGGTCAGCGAGAGAGACGACAGCAGGTGTAGCAAGCGGCGGTGAGCGCGGAGCGGTCGCGGAAGAAGCAGGCAGAAGCACCGGAGTCGAGAGTGAACGACAGCGATGCAGTGGCGGAGGCCGGGAACGGGGCTGGTGCAGAGATTGGGCTAGGCAAACTAGGCAGTCCTACGCCTGACGCAGCAGGGGAAGCTATGCTACACAAGGGTGCAACACCTAAGCTGGAGAACACAGGATAATAAGATCCAGCAACACTAGCAGCGTCAGAATACAAAGCATGCAAAGCAGCACCTATCTGATCCATGTCTAACTCAAAGATCGGCACGCCCTGGCGGAGCAGGCTGTGCCAGTCAGGGAGGTCCGGGGCCGGGCCAAAGCGACGACGAAAAAGATCGTCAAGGCGGCGAAAACAGCGGGCAGTCGGGTGCGGGCGGCGACACAGAGTGCCGCGAAGAGGCCCGGTCTGAAGCTGGTACTGGCAGGTCACAGCACCGGAGCCGCTGGTAGACGCCGAGCTGCGCGGGCCGCCACCACGGCCACCACCTCCGCCGGTGCCAGGCCAACCAGGCGGGAGACGAGCCCACTGCTGCGGCGGCTGCTGCTTGGGCGACGGCTGCTGCTGGGACGGCGGCGGCGGCTCGGGCTGCTCCTGCTGCGGCGGGGCTGCTGCTCCTGCCGACCAGTGGTAGTCCCAGCAGGCGGACTACCGTCACTACCACTAACACCACCACCACCACCTGCGCCACCACCCCGACCTCCCTGGCGACCACGGCCACTGCGGCGCGAGCGCTGCTGCGGGTGGACCGCAGCAGCCGTCTCGGTGGGGGGGCACCGTGGCGACCGCAGCCGAAACGTCAGTGAACGTGCACTGGGAGGGGGCACAGCCGTGAAAGATAGAGACTGCCGGCGCACCGCTCGACTGAGCGATAGTGCGCTGGCGAGTCTCGATCTCGGTGAGGGTGTCGACAAAGGCAGTGAGGGTGAGGTCAGCCGGGTGCTGGCTAAGGAAGTGATCGCGGCACTAGCGAGGCGGTCCGGCAGGCGCATGGCGATGAAATAGAGCGTCATGCAGAAAGGAGGGGGGAGCGCAGTGAGCTGTGCAGCAGTGCTGGCAGTGCGATAGCGGGTCTCTAGGGCACGCAGGTGAGCGGCAAAGTCTGCGACGGTAGGGAAGGCTGCAAGGTCTGGGAAGAGCATCGGGAAAAGCAAGCGCCAGCAGAGGCAGACGCGGGTGTGGAATAGCGGGCAATGACTGCGTCTAAGTAGGCTTTGGCCGTCGCAATGGTAGCAAAACGCGAGCGTTCAGACACAGGGAGGGCGTGGCTAATAGCAACTGAGCGACCGCATCGCGGGAGTCCCAGACAGCACAGGCAAGTGCAGCAGTAGAGAAGGTCTCACGGGCATCAGAGGAGGGGTCAGCAGGGAGGGGAACGGCGCAGGGGGGCGGGGGAGCAAACCATCGACATGGACAACCAAAGAGTGGCCATCCTGACGCTGACCTGTAAGGTGGCGGCGGAGGTCAGAGAGCCAGGCGGCGAAGTCAACCGCGTGGCCCTCGTCCAGTCGGAGCACGAAGTCAGCCATCGTGCAGGGTCAGCGGCACAGCTCCGCAGGAACAGGACGGCAGCGCCCTCCAACACGGCGGCCGCAAAACGGCGCCCCAGCACGTGCGAGCAGGTACGAAGAGGCGCCGGCCGGTCAGGCACGGCGGGTGAGGCACGGGAGGTGCGGCAGAGCCAGGAGGTGCGGCAGGGCCGGGCAGGGGCGGCGGGGCCATCTCAAAGGAAAACTGAATAATCATTGACTAGAAAGAATTGTACAAGGACATATATCTAAGGGTTGTACTCTCTAAGAGATGACCCTATACAGTCTATACAAACATTGTAGATAAATGTTGGACAGCGAGGGGCCGGTAGGGGCGCGACGAGGCCGGCTAGGGGCGCGACGGTGCCGGCTAGGGGCGCAACGGGGCCGTAGGGGCGCGACGGTGCCGGCTAGGGGCGCGACGGTGCCGGCTAGGGCGCAACGAGGCCGTAGGGGCGCGACGGGGCCAGCTAGGGGCGCGACGGGGCCTGCGAGGGGCGCGAGGGGCCGTAGGGGCGCGCGGGGTCGGCTAGGGGCGCGAGGGGCCGGTAGGGGTGCGACGGGCCCGGTTAGGGGCGCGACGGGGCTATAGGGGCGAGACGGGGCTGTAGAGGCGTGACGGGGCCGTAGGGCGCAACGCCGGCTAAGGGCGCAACGCCGGATAAGGGCGCAAAGGGGTCGTAGGGGTGCGACGGGGTCGTAGGGGCGCGACGGGGCCGTAGGGGCGCGACGGGGCCGGCGGCTAGGTCGAGCGAGGGATGGTCGTGGCAGCACGGGGCGGAAGCGGGTGGGTGGACCTACCTACTCATTATACCATGTTAAGACTAGAAAGAATGATTAGAACAAGGGAAAACAGGGAAGATATAGCGTTTGGGTTGTACCCACTAAGAACATACCTTATCTAGCCTATAACTTGTACATAACAATATATGTATTAGTTTACATACAGTAGGTACGGCAACTATACCTACAATATAGGAGCAGCAACATCACTGCTGGGCTTGTGTTCTCCGGGAAGCTATTCTTTGTTCAGCAGCCCAAGCAAAAACCGATTTCACAGGGTCCCTAAGCGTCCGCAGCTGCTGCTGTCGCTGGTGCGAATGGCTTTGATAGTTTCTGCTCATCGACACTACAGAATTCTGGATTCTCGACGACTCCTCCGAGGGCTGGATTGCGCGTGAAGCGTTGACGCGTTGCGCTGCCGATGCGGATGGCGCTGTGTGCGCGCGGCATCGGCCATCGTAGTAGCTCGTCGTTTGCGCCGCGACGCGGCCACTGGCTGAGGCCGAACTCCATGGTCGGCTCTGCTGGGAACCGTCGGATCGTTGCGACTCCGCTGGCGTGGGCAAGGGGGTTTGGGACGACGGGCTTGGTCGTCTTCGGCTTATCACCGAAGCGTTCGACAGGGGGTAAAACGGCGAGCCCGCACGAACAGAGTCGGCTGAGTTCGCGGCAGTCGGTGAAATCTGCCGCATGCCGTCACACCCTCGACGGTCGCGGTTGTCCGCCGAGTTGGCTGCTGACTCTTGCGCCGTTGGACCGTCCGGTCGTCTATAAATGACCGCCCCGCCTCGCCGCCAGATGAGCGCCGTCATGGCGTCGACCCAGAGCGCGTTCGTGTCCTTCTCCCCCAGCGCGTGCGCACTTCGCGAGCGGCGGAGCGAGTGGCGGGACGCTTGCCTCCGCGCCTCTGACACTACCGCATCCAGCGGCTGCGGTCGCCTACTCAGTCCGCTGCCCGAAGAGCCTTCGCCTCCCATTTTTAGCAGCGACGGCTCGCTTCTGCTCCGCTTGAGCCGCCGGCGCTGCGAGCGCATGTGATCGAGGCTGTTTCCCGACGCTGCGTTTCCGAAAACGGGCCTGCTCGCGCGATTCCACGAGTCGAGTCGCCGCTGGGCCGAGTCCAGCGACAAGCGACCCCTGCGATCCCGAGACCCGTCGCGCGATGACACGTCGGACGCGTACGTGAAGACATAAGACGCGCTGCTCGCGTCGCGCGAGCTATCGTTGGCGGCAGTTAGCGAGGCGAGATGCTGCAGCTGCTGCAGCGACAGCCCGTAGCTTTCCGGCTGAGTTGACGGCTGAGGTGGCTCTGGTCCCGCGCCGGTGACCCTCTGGCGCGCCGCGCAAGTGATATCGTTACTAGGAGGATTGGATGGCCAGGGCCTTCTTTCTGAATGCGCCACGCAATCAACCGTCGCTTCTGACGTCGCTTGAAAGCGAGAGGAGGACGGAGGCGGCGAATGCGACGCGCTTCCCGCACGCCTGGGCGCATTACCCCGTACGGGAGGCGAGCGGCGGCGGAATGCGCGGGGGACGAAGGTAGCGACATCAGTGCGAATTGCTGGGCCGTTGTGACTGCGAGTGCGCGAAAAGAAGCCGAGGCAGAGCTATGATGACTTCTAGCGGAAGCCATTGTTGCTGCAGCTGATGTGAACGACTCGGAAAAGAACCTCAGTCTGGAACAGACAAGGAATTAGCAGCAGGAGTTTTGAGATGGATGGATCGAGCTGAGTGCCCCTATTTGTGCTCGTCGCGAGTGCGGGTGGTGGAATTCCCTCGGGGGGACGGGGAGGGCAAATGGCCCAGCATGGCGGGGAGACGGGCGGACATCCAGGGTAAAGCCAGCTGCGGGGATGTGTGGGGAGATTTGGGGCGAAACGAACTCAACGCCGTGGAAGTAGAATCACGTTTCAAGTTGTTTCCCCGTGTTTGTTGAAATGATGCACACTATCAAAATATTAATAGTATACAGTGTAGTATATGCCTCATTTTGTAGTGATTCACCGCTAACGAAACACTGAAGTGCTAATAGTGTAGCCTTCCAGCTGTAGATGGGTGGGCCAACTGTTCAACCCCACCACGTCACGTGGCATCCTTCGATGTTATTCCCACTCTTCCCAAATGGCGGTTGTCCCGTCGGCACGTGGAAGACCGTGACGAATTTTCCGCATCTGTCCACACAGCACGGGGAGATGAGCAGAAAGTGGCGCTTCACGTGGCGCGAATTGAGTGGATCGCTTGATCTCGGAGTGGCAGGGTGGAGGGGAACAGAGAAGCAATGAAGCACGGCCTTCGCCAACCAGATCTCGATATCCCATCCCAGATGTTTCCAGATCAATTTTTGAGTTTTCCGAGTTGGGGGTGAATCTACCAACTGTGTGACTGTGGGCGTGGTGCGGCATGGCTTGGCGGGTTGGGGGAGGTGGATCGAGTAAGTGAATGTGGCAGGGAGGGGAAATTGCTTTGGAGAAAGGGGAACGTGAGGGGAGGGGGAAGCTGATCCCCAAGCAGTCACAATGAAGTAGGCAGTACCCTGCAAATCATACAATGTTCGGAACACTACCCTTCAGTGTATACCGCCGTTGAACTTCGTGATCGAGCAAGAGAGTTCCAAATTCCAATCAGCGATTGGTTTTTCAAGGCGAACCTATCAAACCCTACATTATCCGCGATGGCGGCGATCGCATCATCTCGACCGTGGATCCCTCCTGGAAGCCAACCTGAGAGACTCCTCCTCCGACGAGCAACCGGCATCACCGCCTTTTTTCGTGGTAGCCAAACGGCCAATACGCCTCGTCTAGGTCGATTACCATAGGGCGTGTAAGATAGCTAAACGGGTGATCGGATCAACTGATCTTCCCCCTCTTATTTTCACAACTCGTCGGATAAGTTTCGCGACTCAAATCGGCTCTTCACGTGCACGTACTTCCACTATTTCACGGCGACAGCCGTCGTACTCGCTCAAGCTAGCCCTTCCACAAAATTTTATTATTGCGGCCGATTCGGGAATAATGACACGTGGCACGGGGTCACGCTGACGCCGTGTCTCCTGATCAAACAACAGAATGAACCGTCGTTCTACTGAGTCGCATACCTATGGCGTACCTGATTTTTTTATCGACTCAAAACTCACCCGCGTGTCTGGTGCAGCACCTGATCCTCGTGACAGAGCTGATTTGCATCTCGAGCCAATCCTATTGTCCCCCGTTCCCCCCTTCCCTGAAAATCCGTCGCCATGATGGTCCGTTGTAGAAAGCGGACTCCGCTTCGTCGGACGACCATCACAGACAAATCGGGCGACGTGCAAGCGGATCCGTCGAGACCCGTGCTCTGTGAGGTTCGGGGTGAGGCAGAGCCTGTGGAAAGGGCCACGGTATGGCGGCCAGGGCATGTGGTCCACCTGCGGATATTTCTCGAGAGTGTCGTCAGCTCATCGCCTCGTACCCGTGCTGCTGAGAAAGACATTGAAAGACAACTGACAGCCCTCCCTTTCATGCCTCATTCCTGCCAAACTCCCCTCCTAGATCTCCCCTCCCACCCCCCAGCGGCTGTATATCTGGTGAAGTGTTACAAGGCGTGCTACCCTTGTATCTCTTCCTTCCGATCCCTTTGGTGTCACGACTTCGCCTGGGCTTCAATCCCAGGAGGCTCCGCGTGCTGCACAGCCGCACTTCAGCAAGTTACATTTGTGCCGCACTCCAAAGCCCGGAGTTCTCTCGGAGCTCCAAGGGTGCAACTGACTCAAGAGTGTAACCCTATTGGTTACGGTATGGCGCTGCACAGTCATTGGGCAAAGGAGATGGTGAGAAATCACGCCTTCAGAGTTTCACTAACAAAGAAACGAAGCCGTGATGATAATCATGGCGATACCAACAGTGACGGTGCTGCAAGCGGCAATGCATGCAGCCAAGATGCGCGCAGGCGCAGGATCCACCGCTCCTGTGCTTCAACTCCTGCAGCAGCGGTCCCGCCAGCCATGCTGCTTGCAGCATCTGCTGACAAGACAAGTCTCTCTGCTGACGTACTCAGCACAGAGATCACTCGGCACCAGCATGGGAGCTTCTCGATTCCAACCGGGTCAGCAGGTCGGCAGCACCAAGACGACCCGAGCCCCAATCGACGCTTTCCTCAGAGCCCGCCTTTTCAAAGAGCTGTTAGCGCCCCGGAACAACAGAGTTGTGTCGGAATCGTCTCTAAGTGCAGCAGCACGCGGCTGAGTTGGGCGGATTACTTTAGAAGCAAGGAGAGGCTGGGAATAGCGGTGCTGTCTGCGGAGCCACTTCAAACCCAGGGTGCAGCAATTCGCTGTGACGAAGCATGCAATGTGCGCACAGCAACATCAATGGAGGGATGGGCATGCTGGGGAAAGCCACTTGGTGCTCGAGCCATCATCCCTGACCTGAACCTTCCTGCCTGCGAGGCTGATGGCTTGACATGCTGCCCGGCCGTCGGATTCACGCATGCAAGACATTTCTCAGACACCACGCCGTCTCGTTCATCTGGAGTACATACAGCTGAGCTTCGAGGAACTAAGTTGGGCGAGTTGCACTTGATTGAACCCGTGGAAGCAGCAGCAGCAGCAGCCGCAACTAAAGAAACAGCACCAGCAAAAGCAGCAGCAGGCGAAGCAAGAGCAGCGAGAACAACTGCGCTGCCAGTGGAATGATTGCTTGGATACTGAGAGGAGAATGTTGATAAGGGAAATTATGAATTTTAGGAGAACGGACATCCCCTTGCTCTCGTAAAGCATGCATTGGCAATAGTTTTTGTGCATTTCCGTGTGCATTTGCTTCTAGAGTGGCTTGATTGAGCCTCTAATAAAAATGAAGGTATATGATCCCTATTATGTACCTCTGCATTTGAGGCTTTCTACCAGGAAGCGGAGAGTTTACTAACAGGCATGCTTTCGTCGCGCAAGCCCCAGCCATGTTCCACGAGAATTTCCCTCGTACGTTTTATACGGTCCAATTTGGTACCTCGAGGTTTCAAGCGGTGAACCACGGAAAGGATTTCCAGAGTTTTGCACCGTACATCACCGCATATAATGCATGGGCACACCTGTAATGAGTCCATTTCAATCTAGAAGGCAGCCACACTACGGAATGCGTACCATAGCAATCTAGCATTGCTCATTACCTTGCCATTGCTGCTTAGTAGCAGCTCGCTTTCCCTCCCTCCTTCACGCTAACCCCCAGCGCTATTATTTCTGCTCAGCGCGTCGAGATTCGAGCCGCGATGCAGATCTGCGTCAGTCGTACGCCTCAATCGGCGTTGGTGTCACCAGTCCGTGACACCATCGCTTCCAAATCTCATAATCTCCGTGCACCCCTAATCAACCGGTCCGCACCTTCAGCTAAGCCGCTACTGCTGCTTCGTTCATCACAATGTCGTCCCCGCCGCTTGCGGCGGCACGCGCATTTTGCCCCTCTCCGCGCACCCCATCGCGTTCCCAGCTCGTTATGTGCTCCACTCGTTATAAGGACCACGAGCCAGCGCGCTCTCCGGTCCGTTCACATTACGTCAGCAGCCCAAATTGATGGAACGAAAGCGGCGGATGTAGCGGGAGCGGATGCAGCGCAAGTTTACGTGACCGAGAAAACCGATTCTGACGCACACGCTCCGACTCCAGCCGCTTCCGCCTGGCAAGCATTTTCCGCCGCGTTTTCCGGCGAGTGGGCGGGATACTCCGTGGACTTCTCCCGCTTCGGCCACCCCTTAGAGCTCCCGCAGTCCGTCGTCCCCGAGGCGTTCCGCGACTGGGGGCTGGCGCAACTCGCCTGGCAGGCGCAGACGTCCAGCGCCGCCCGCGGGGAGAGCCTTGGCCGCGGGGATGCTCGGGTGCAGTCGTCGTTGGTGCGGTACGCGCCTGCTGCGGGGTGCGAGGCGGCGTCTCCGCCCAAGTACAGCGTGGAGAGGACGGCTCTGGAACTAGCTGCTGGTGGTGCTGATGGTGATAGTCGAAGCAGCAGTGCTGGAAGCACAGGTGCCGCGGACACCGCAGCTGCTGATGACGTGTTTGCGTTCACAGCGGACGGTTCATATCTGCTCGTCCGAGCTGGCCAGCCCTCCTCCATGCCCGCTCCTGCCAGCGTGGACGCCATGCGGGTCACACAGTGGGTGCCACGTGGCAGTGACGCCGAAGGCCGTGAAGCTACCGAAGGTGATTCAAACGAGGGGATCAGCAGCGTGGCAGGAGGGCCGTTTCAGGTGGAGCATTGCTTGGCTATGGAGGGCGTGGAAGCTGCGAGTGGCAGGGGAAGAGTGAGAGTGCGGGTCGTGCAGCAATTTCTACCAGCCAGGGGAGCAGGCGTGCCGCGGATTGCCAGCCTGGCACTGCACAGGGAGAAGTGGGTGGAGCCGTTTTCGGGCGGCGCTGAGCTGGCAGATGGTGCGGCACTGTTCAGTTCGGAAATGATTGAGGAGGGGGAGGGGAGTGAGGTGGTGAGAGAGGGGAGGTTAAAGGGGATTGAGGGGAGGTGGGAGGTGACAGCAAGAGAAGCCCAGTTGCCCACCGCTGTAAGATTTCTCTCAAGCTTTCGGGGGCTGTCATGCGTTTCCTCCATTTAATTGCTGGTTTCTGATTTTTTTTTAAATTTATTTTTATTTTTTTATGCACTTTGCTGAAGGTGTGAGTTATCACTCGACATAAAATCTATGTGAAATGAACACACTTTCACTTTTGATTGCCCCTTTTGCTGTCCTTTTCTCTTGTCGCTGTCCCATTTCCCTCCCCCTTTCTCCACTGCCTTTGTTTCCCAACAGCCCCTTTGCCCAGCAGCCAGCCACCTCACCATCGGTTCTTGCAGTGGAGCTAGCTGGCTCAACGCACACAGAGCTGTCAAGACAGACGGGGCCCTCAGCTGCCAGTGCAATGCATTTGATTTCCCACACCCCTTTTGTCCAGCAGCCAGCCATCTCACCATCGGTTCTTGCCGTGGAGCTAGCTGGCTCAACCCTTAAGGAGCTGTCAAGACAGATGGAGGCCTCAGCTGCGGAGGATGGGACGCTCATGCTGCTGCCAGAGGTATGAATCTTGCAGGACAAAAGGAAGGGGATGAGTGTTTTGACTTTTGGGTCGACTCAGAAGTCAACTGGGGTGGGGACCTCAGCTGTGGAGGATGGGACGCTCATGCTGCTGCCAGAGGTGGGGTGGGAAAGCCAGCAGGGCGAAGGGAAGGGGATGCGTCTTCTGCCAGAGGAAGGCGATGAGATGGTGTGCCCACTTAGTCTCACTGTGCCGCATCCCTCCATGTCTTTGATCTTCACCTTCTTCTCCAACCCCTTCCCCTCCCACCCCCTCCCCTCTCCCTATCTCTCTCCCTCTCCCTATCTTCCCTCCGCTTGCCATTCACTTCAATCCTCCTCCAGTTGTTGCTTTACATTTCATTCATGCTACCGCTCAAGGCTGTCCTGTTTCTGCCCACCGCTCTTGCTTTCTGCCACTTCTGCAACCCAGGGCGTTTGGAGTCACGTGCAACCATCAGAAGAAGGCTCGTTTTCTGCAGAGGTTGGGTGGTTGTTCTCGTCCAGCCAGGGGATAGTATCTCGTGTTCACTTCGACCAATCAGGAAGAGCAAAGGTGTGTCTTAACGAGGAATGGCACTTGTAGGTATGGGGAGTTAGCAGATGAAGGAATGCTCAATCCAAGAGTGAACTTGCCCTCATACATGAATTTCCCACCATACTATAAGCTCCACTCAAGTTTGTGTTTGTTTGAGTGCACTAACAAAGCCTGTTGTATTCCGTTTTGTTTTTGTGCAGAGTGCATCTATCTCGATGGAGAGGACACTTAATGCATTTATAATGCAGTAGCTGAATGCATTTATAAATTAAGATACGGTATCATTTTTAGCTACGTTGATATGCATGCCGACGTGTTATATTCGTGTAGTTATTCACATACGGGTAAATGCCAGTTATTGCGGCTAGCCCAGCACACTCCTCGCAGGACTCATAGGGCACCATTTCAACCTAGGACACACGGTCTACTTCAAAGCCCTGGAGACATATACTAAACCTAGCCAACTTCATAGGCTACCATCCCGTTGTTTCAAGGCTTGCCCTACCTCGCTTCTTTGCTCTGTCGAAGTCAACATGGAGGTTTGTCAGCTAGGCTAGACGGCATGGGCAGCAATTCATGCTCTGGTCGTCGAAGCCATTAGATGCTGTCAATCTGCCTCTGCGGATGAAGCAGATTCCAGATGCATCACTATCTCGTTATCCAAAGCTCTTGACGTCAATTCAGTAGACAATGTTGAGGCTTCAAGAGGGACATTCGCGATAAATCACACTGGAGAGCCTCTGGCGGACAAGAATCCCGCGACCTTCATCAATCGTCTGGTTTCGTCTTCCGCCTTCCAACAGACTGTTGGAGCACGCGATTTCCCACAAATTTCGTGGGGTGAGAACTTTGCAACCTTTCTGTTGGGCATTGTCGTTCCAAGTTCCTGACATACCGAAGCACCATCTATAGCCAACACAAATCTCCTTTTACGGTTTGCCGTTTCCGCGTTCCACAGGTGACGCCGTTGCGTTGATGACCACAGGTAAGTGCTTCGTGTACATTTTCGAAGTGTGATGGACGTTCACGTGCGTAACCTGCTCCAGGAATGAACGACACCGAGGTCAAGAGGTATGTTATTGACATTCCTGCTGAAGGCCAACCGACGTGGTCGCAACTCCCATCAATCGAGAAGCCAAAGGGAGCCTACTTCTCTGGCTTCGAGGTTTCTTTCGATTTTCACGGAGTCGTTGAGGATGCTGCCTTGAAAGTCCACGAGCTCATAGGATGGTAAGTACATGTCGTCTGCCTTCATTCATTGAACACGGCGGCCAATACTCAACGACGCTTCTCCGTTTGCAGGTGACCGTTCTTCAATCACAAGTATGCCAACTTCATTTGCTCTTTCGTTCCTTTGTGGCTGAACTGTTGCCTGACTTCTACAATCCTTTTCAGACTTCGATCGGCCTTTCCTTGGGAAATTTCTGCGACGAGTTTCAGTCATTGATTCATGACTTGCCATCCGCAACGAAAGAGACCGCCCCAGGATCAATAACGTTATCATATGCCCCAGATGACGATGACACCGATTCAGCAGTTTAGAAAGGTTTAAGTCAGGCGTGTCCACAGTCATTGCTATTACAACGTGAAATTTGGTCTGCATTAAAGCAGGGGCAACCAAAGGCTGCCCCATGCCTCGCATCAGCAAGCATACTCATCGCTTGTGGAATCTGGACTGCGTTGCTGCGTACGAGGAAGGATCAAAGGACAACGTAACAGTGAGTGAAAGAGTAGACCAGGAAGCATATTTCTTTCCCACATCATGTTAGAAGATTTAATGGGAGTTCATTGTGCTTTCAGGTGAAAGTGTTCAAAGACTGGTCGCCTCTTCTTGACGGAACCAGTGTAATAATGGCCTTGTCAGGAAAGCAAACTCTGGAACAGTTTCGGGATCAGCATTGCGGATGCTGCTATTCACAACTTTTTTGGTGTTCTCCATGCGGGAAAGAGCTTTATGGAGAAACATCTCAGCATATTCCTCCATCTGCACAATGAACATATCTCATGGTAAGACCCTCTCCCCTGTCCCTATCTCTCCTATCTACGTTGTCCTTTTCTACCCGGTGCATGCATTCTGAGTTGAAGCCCCCTCCTTGAGCACTTTTCGCAATGCAGTGTGAAACCCGAGAACGTCCCACAGAGAGTTTCTGCCGAAGCTTGTCAAGGATGCAGTTGCTGCAGCTTTGCGGCAGTTGAAGACTCAGCTTCCCTGGTGACTTCTCATCCGTACACCAAGCGAAGGTAGGCAAGAAAATCCATGCAGATTTAATTGTCGTTGAGTAGAGCACTGACACCGAGTTCTCTTTCAGGTTGGGAATTGCTTGCCTGATTTGGCAACTAGCCTTGCAACCATAGTGATGGACTCCCAGCAATCAGCATTTCCAAGAGGAGTGTTCCAAAATCTTGGGGGTTCAGGATGTCAACAATGTTGAAACAGCCATTCTGCAGCGGCTGAGCTCTATTTCATTGGCGCCTGATCATGGAGGAAGAATGCTGCCTTGTAAGCGCCAGCCTAAAAAAATGGATGAGATGGATGTATAGTGGGCACTGGATTGAATGAAGGAAGCCATGTTAACCGCGACAAGGGTAGTACAAGGATCCTCCTGTTATATTTTGAGCTAGTCCAAAGATGCTTTGATCAAGCACCACGCCTTTGGAGGGTTATATCCTTTCATGGTTAGCACATTGTGCAGTGTTTAGAACTTGAAGTGGCGAGGAAGAAAGGCGTACGCCGACTATTGTAACGCGTAATTCATCGAGCCAATCATAGATCAGGGAGAAATGGATGACGTGGTAGCACAGTATAACACGTCGTTTTGCCGAATGAGACGTTTTCATCAAATGGGGTAAGCGGTTGTCACGGGATTTCATCCAATCAAGCTTCTTCTCCCTCCTCATTGGTACCAGATTATCGCCTTCCTTTGGATCTGCCGGTGTGGATCCACGTCATCCTTCATGGAATCAAGCTGGCACTTTCGCCAGATGGGGCCCTCTGCTGAACATCCACCCGCTTGCGCGCATGTCTCGCCCTGCTGGGGGAAGAGGCAGAAGGGTCGCTGCACCGCACGCATTCAGCCAACCGAGCGGCGCCTGGGGTTTTGCCTGAGGCAGGCACACAGGCAGTGGGGGGGTAATTTTGCGCGACGATGCGGCGGAGACTCGCGTCAGGGCGGAGGATGTTGAGAATTCGAGGCGGCTCGAGCAGCCAGAGCCCGAAAGGAATCGCAGATTTGTGTGCTTCTCGTCCGTCCGATTTGCTCGGGCAGAGCACGAAATCGTTTTTTGGCTCCATGGCATGGCGCTTGCTCGTTGGTCGCAGCCCACAACTCACACTCCATAGCCACAGCCGAACTCCCCCTTTTAGTCGATGCATCTCACGAACGGAGCAGAGAGGAGCAGCAGCAGCTGTTGCTAATTGTTGCGTCTCCGTACGTAATCCCGTCCTCGTGCAAGCGAGGTTTAGTAACGCAGCGGCCAAGTTAGGAGTTCTCTTCGGGGCTCTCTCCTCGACCGCGCTCACGAGTTCCGTCTGGGACCCGAGCTCTCTCAAAATCAGGAGCCAATTCCCATCTCTTGGGATTTTGTTAACCAGTGAAGCAGTATTTTCGGGCACCATGGGGCTTCACTCGCTATGCGCCATGGGCTGCCAGACCCCTTCATCTTCGGTTCTCGCTCCGTCATCGTCTCTCGTCCATTCGTCGCTACCCAGTTCCTCTCGCCCTTCTCGTTCCTCTGGCTCCTCTCGTCAAGTCAATTCTCACCGCACCTCGTCCGCGATTCCCTCCTCCCATGCCACTTCCTCCGCGTTTCACGGCGAGTTTCACGGCCTGCACCATCACCAGCTCTCGCGCAACCCCTCCGCCTTCTCCCTCTCGCACGCGAAGGCCTTCGACGAAGCTTCTGACCGTCAAATCAAGTTTCCAGCTCACTCCGCAGGACGCGAACGCGACGGCGGCTATGGCGGCGGCGGTTGCGGCAAGCGCGCGGTGGTGACAGCTGTCTTCGAGCGATTCACGGAGCGCGCGATTAAAGCCGTCATGCTGGCGCAGGCGGAAGCTAAGGCTATCGGGCGGAAAGAGGTCGCGACGGAGCAGCTCCTATTGGGTCTTATCGCGGAGGATTTCGCGAGCGCCGGAAAGCCCGGCGGGTATCTCGGCTCGGGAATGACTATCAGCAGCGCAAGAGATGCCGTCCGCGCAATGATTAGGGACGGCCGGCTGCCTGCCGCGGTTGGTCTGCCGGCTGGCAAGCCGGCTTCCGAGGTGCCGTTTTCGGCCGGCAGCAAGCGGGTGTTTGAAAAAGCGCTGGAAGAGTCGCGGAAGCATCGCCATAACTTCATCGCGCCGGAGCATCTGGCGGTGGCGCTGGTGCAGGTTGAACACGAGGGGGCGCAGCTGGTGATCGAGAGGTGAGAGAGTAAAACTGCAAGGCGGTACGTGCTGGTAACCAAGAGGTGAGTCGTAGATGGATTACAGCTGGGTTGCGGAGGCCTTATTTCCATCAAGTCTGTAGCAAGGCGGTACGTGCTGGTAACCAAGAAGTGAGTCGTAGTTGGACTACAGCTGGGTTGCGGAGGTCTTATTTCCATCAAGTCTGTAGCAAGGCGGTACGTGCTGGTAACCAAGAGGTGAGAACTGCGGAGCACCGCGCTAACAGTATCCCTCCCGAGCATCTGGCGGTGACGGTACATGCGGAAGCAGCGAAAAACAGTACTGTTTTCTCCTGATCATCTGGCGGTGGCGGCGCTGGTGCAGGTTGAACACGAGGGGGTGCAGCTGGTGATTGAGAGGTGAGAGCAGAAGGCGGCATGTGCCTGTAACGAGATGGCTCAGGAAGCATCGCCACAACACTACCACGCCTGAGCGGCATCTGGGTGTGGCGCTGGTGCGGGTTGAGCACGAGGGGGCGCAGGTGGTGATCGAGAGGTGATAGAGTGAAAGTGTAAGACGGTACGTGCTGGTAAATAAGAGGTGAGACTTGCGGAAGCAGCGCGCTAACAGTATCCCTCCGGAGCATCCGGGTGTGGCGCACCTGAGCGGCATCTGGTTGTGACGCTGGTGCAGGTTGAACACGAGGGGGCGAAGCTGGTGATCGAGAGGTGAGAGTAGAAGGCGGCATGTGCCTGTGGCGGTATGTGCTTGTAACCGAGATGCCCTAGGGAGCAGCGCGATTACAGTATCCCTCCGGAGCATCTGGGTGTGGCGGCGCTGAGAGGTGTGGTTATAAGATGGTACGCGAATGGTATTTGAATGTTCTGCAGATAGTCGGCATCCTCGCTCCACCTCGAATGGTTTTTAGATTGCCACTTTTTTGCGATGCGTTGTGAAGGAGGGGTGAGGCTTCGAGCCTTACTGCTTCGACGCGGCAGCACCGTGGGGTGACTCTTTAAGACTGGCTCCGGGGCATCTGGTCCCATCTCGCTCCCCACTCCACCCCCCGTCCCCCATGTTCGCTCTTGAGTTGAATGGCTCTATAAGACTTATTTTCTCCGAGGCATCTGGTCCCGTGTCGCTCCCCACTCCAACCCCCCATCTCCCATCTCCCATTTTCTCCGGCGCGTTTGAGTTGAATCAAAATCCTCTGGTCCCATCTCGCTCCCCACTCCCCATTTCCCATCTCCCATCTTTCCCGGCGTGTCACAGCCTGGGAGCGAGCAAGCATCGGCTGCAGCAGGCAGCGCTGGCGCGGCTCAAGGGCGAGCTCGATAAAGACGGCCGCTCGTCTGAGTCGCTCTCCAACCCCTCCTCGGCCTGCCAGCAGCAGCAGCGCTCAGCCTAAGGCAGTCAGCCAGGCAGCGAACAAGGGGCGCGGAAAGAAAGGTACGCCTCAATGCTGCATGCTGCCCCTTCGGTTTCTTTCCACATTCGCGTTTCTTGCTTAGTGTTGCTCTGGCGTAACACTCATCCCACCTCCACCTCCCCATCTACCCACCTCCCCCACGAGCAGCCCAGCAGAGTGCTTTGGAGCAGTTCTGCACGGTCCTAACAGCCAGGGCGGTGAAGGGGGCTGACTAGTCAAGGAATGTTCTCCCAACAATCCCCACTCCTGCTGTTCTCCTCTCCCTCCCCACTCCTCCTCCTCCCTCCCACCACCATTTCCCCCACGAGCAGCCCAGCAGAGCGCTTTGGAGCAGTTCTGCACGGACCTAACAGCCAGGGCGGTGAAGGGGGAGATTGACCCTGTGATTGGAAGAGAGGAGGAGGTGGCTAGGGTGGTGCAGGTGAGTGTGATTATATGTTCTTTAGTGTGATTGTGAGTTCTTTAGGGTGGTTGTGTGTGGTTTGGTGTGATCATGTGTTCTTTAGTATGGTTACGTGCTTTTTAGGGTAATTGTGCGTGGTTTGGTTGTTACCAAGAGATGTGGGTGTTTTGACAGCCAGGGCAGTGAGGGGGGAGATAGACCTTGTGATTGGGAGAGAGGAGGAGGTGGCTAGGGTGGTGCAGGTGGGTGGTGATGTGGTTGTAAGGAGATGGGACCATAATGGGGGATAGTGCTTGGGGGCATCTAAAAGCCATGGCAGTGAGGGGGGAGATAGACCCTGTGATTGGAATTTGGAAGAGAGGAGGAGATTGCCAGGGTTGTGCAGGTGAGCG